CCCTTATCCCTCCCTTCCCACCCATCCTCCCCAGTCCCTTTCCCTTTGGTAACTATTAGTCCATTCTTGGGTTCTGTGCTTCTGCTGCTGTTTTGTTCCTTCAGTTTTCTTTTGTTCTTATACTCCACATATGAGTGAAATCATTTGGTACTTGTCTTTCTCGGCCTGGCTTATTTCACTGAGCATAATACCCTCTAGCTCCGTCCATGTTGCAAATGGTAGGATTTGTTTTTTTTTCTTACAGCTGCGTAATATTCCATTGTGTATATGCACCACATCTTCTTTATCCATTCATCTACTGAAGGACATTTAGGTTGCTTCCATATTTTGGCTATTGTAAATAGTGCAGTGATCAACATAGGGGGAGGCACCTACATTTTTAAAAACAGAGTAAAAGCCTGTCTCCCCAAACCTTTCCCTAGAGGTCACTGCCCACTGCCCACTCCCTGTCCATCCTTCATGCAGCAGCATGTGGAGACATGTCCTTGACCCTTAGTTTGCTTTCCCTGCAGTCAGGAGCTGGATGAGCTGCACTACCAGGACACAGATTCAGATGTGCCAGAGCAGAGAGACAGCAAGTGCAAGGTCAAGTGGACCCATGAGGAGGTGAGGGACACTGACTCATCTGGGGGGCAGGGGGAGGCTGCTGGCAGGTGCGGGTCTGTACTGGGAGCTCAGCCTGAGATGTGTCTGCCTGATGCCCTGACTGGTATGTTGAGGAGGAACTGGGGAAAGAAGCGGATGGTCCTCTTGTTCTCCCCAGGCCTCTTCTCAGCACCCTGGGAGACCTCAGTATTGAGGACTCGGGGGGTGACCTGTCACTCAGACCTGTGGGCCAGCAGTTTGCTGTTTTTTCTCTTGGAAGCTGGTATGTTCTACACTTACATGGTGAACACTAGAGTGTGTCTTGTCCTTTTTTTTTCTATTTTTTTTCAAGGTATTGATACACACTCTTGTGAAGGTTTCACATGAAAAAACAATGTGGTTACTACATTTACCCATATTATCAAGTCCCCACCCATACCCCAGTGCAGGCACTGTCCATCAGTGCAGCAAGATGCCACAGATTGACTATTTGCCTTCTCTGTGCTACACTGTTATTCCCGTGATCCCCCACACCATGTGTACTAAACATAATACCCCTCAATCGCTGCCCTCCCATACCCCTCCCCTTTGGTAACCACAGTCCCTTCTTGCAGTATCTGAGTCTGCCGCTATTTTGTTCCTTCAGTTTTGCTTCATTGTTACACTCCACAAATGAGGGAAAGAAATCATTGGGTACTTGTCTTTTTCTGCCTGGCTTATTTCACTAGCATAATATCCTCCAGCTCCATCCATGTTGTTGCAAATGGTAGGATTTGTTTGTTATGGCTGAATAGTATTCCATTGTGTATGTGTACCACCTCTTTGTCCATCTACTGATGGTCACTTAGGTTGCTCCCATTTCTTGGCTATTGTAAAAAGTGCTGTGTGAAACATAGGGGTGCATGTGTCTTTGGAAGGCAGCTATGCTCACCACTATACCACCAATGCGTGCATGTGTCTTTGAATCTGTCTGAGAAGTTGTATTCTTTGGGTAAATTCCAAGGAGTGGGATTCCCGGGTCAAATGGTATTTCTATTTTTAGTGTTTTGAGGAACCTCCTTATTGCTTTCCACAATCGTTGAACTAGCTTACATACCTACCAGCAGTGTAGGAGGGTTCCCCTTTCTCCGCATTCTCGCCAGCATTTGTTCTTAGTCTTTTCGATGCTGGCCATCCTTACTGGTGTGGGGTGATATCTCATGTGGTTTTAATTTGCATTTCCCTTATGATTAGCAATGTGGAGCATCTTTTCATGTGTCTGTTGGCCATCTGAATTTCTTTGGAGAACTGTCTCTTCATGTTCTCTGCCCATTTTTTTATCGGGTTATTTGTTTTTTAGGCTTTGAGGTGTGAGTTCTTTGTTTTGGATGTTAACCCCTTGTTGGATATGTCATTTACAAATATATTCTCCCACACTGTAGGATGACTTTTTTCTGTTGATGGTGTCCTTTGCTGTACAAAAACTTTTTAGTTTGATGTAGTTCCATGAATTCATTTTTGCTTTTTTTTTTCCATGTAGATGATTTTTTTATACATAATTTTTAAAATTCATTTGTTATCATTAATCTACAATTACATGAAGAACATTATGTTTACTGAACTCCCCCCTTCATCAAGTCCCCCCCACAAATCCCGTTACATGGCTCCTTTATCATATACTAATTGACCATATATGCTTGGGTTTATATCAGGGCTCTCTAGTCTGTTCCATTGGTCTATGGGTCTGTTCTTCTGCCAGTACCAAATTGTCTTGATTAGGGTGGCCTTGCAGTAGAGCTTGAAGTTGGGGAGCGTAATCCCCCAGCTTTATTATTCCTTCTCAGGATTGCTTTGGCTATTTGGGGTCTTTTGTGGTTCCATATGAATTTTAGAACGATTTTCTCTAGTTGAAGAATGCTGTTGGTATTCTGATAGGAATTGCAATGAATCTGTAGATTGCTTTAGGCAGGATGGCCATTTTGACGATATTAATTCTTCCTATCCATGAGCACAGGATGTGTATCCATTTATTCATCTCTTTAATTTTTCTCATGAGTGTCTTGTAGTTTTCAGGGTATAGGTCTTTCACTTCTTTGGTTAGGTTTATTCCTAGGTATTTTATTCTTTTTGATGCAACTGAATGGAATTATTTTCCTGGTTTCTCTTTCTGCAGTTCATTGTTAGTGTATAGGAATGCCACATATTTCTGCATATTTTGTATCCTGCAACTTTGCTGAATTCAGATATTAGAACTAGTAGTTTTGGCATAGATTCCTTGTGCTTCTTGTCCTTTTAACTACTAGGAGGTTTGGCCAAATCCGTCACCTCTTTGTTATGTTAAAAACCCATGAATTGATTTTATTCTTCAGACAACCTAATGGAAGTACAATTTGTAAATAATAAATGCACCTTTTAAAAGCCAGCAGTCCTAACAGTTTCAGCAAATGTTGAAACTTCCCCTGATTACTTCGTCCCATCTTCCTCAGCTCCAGGCAATCACTGATGGGTCTCTGATTTGGTTTGTTTTGCCTGTTCTTGATTGCCTGTAAATGAACTCATATAGCTGTACTCTTTTTTTCCCTGGCCCCCTTTGCTCAGCAAAATGCTGCATGAGTCAATCATTTGTTCATTTTTATTGCTGAATGGGTATACCACAGTGTACTTCACTTGTCAGTGGGCACTGGGCTGTTTCCAGTTTCTGGCTAGTGTGGATGGAGCTGCTAGCAGGGTTCTTACATGATCCTTTTTTTGAGGATTGTTTTCATTTCCCTAGGGAGGACATTTGAGTAGGGTTGTGGCATGGGTGTATATTAAGTTTTATAGAAACTGTCAGACCTGTTTCTGAATTGGTTGAACCGTCTTAGACTCCTGACCTCACACACCCACTAACTACCTTTGGTCCCTATAGCTTAGTTTACATTTTCTAGAATTTCATATACATGGAATCAGACAGTGTGTGCTCTTTGCTGTCTGACTTCTCATAATGATGAGATTTTTGTGTTGCTCTGCCAAAGTCAGTAGTCATTCTCAGGAGATTATTTTAATAGATAGTGGATTCTGCCATGTCTGCCTATCTCCAGTGCTGAGTTACTGTCATCTCTGTCCTGGGTGCCTGTACTGCCTCCTGTCCATTCTGCCCTCTTGCAGCCCCTTTTCCATGCAGCTCCCCAAGTGAACTGCATAATACGCTCATTGGACTGTGGCCCCCCACTGTTCAAATGCGTCAGTGGCTTTCCAGCCTGCATGTGGTGTGGCCCCTGCTGCCCCCCTTGCCCCTGCCCCCCGAATCCTCTTGCATGTGCTTCCTGCACTCTAGACACTTGGCTTCCTTTGAGCCTGTATACCTTGGTCTCCCTGAGTAGGCAGTCAGCACATACCTCGCCACGCCCCCAGCACAGGTGGCTCTACTTATGTTTGTGGGAGCCTCTGATTAGCATCTGTCCTCCTCTAAATCCTAAGTCCCACAAGGCCGGGGCAGCTGAGCTGCCTGCTGCATGTCTTTAGTACCTGGCATGCATATAGTAAGTGCTCACTTTATGACTGAGTGAATGAGGCTGTTCATTTTGGAGAGGTCTCTTACACAAATGTCTGCTTTTTGCACTTGTGGGACTGAACCTCCTGTCTTTCTGTTGTTGGCAGGACGAGCAGCTGAGGACCCTGGTGAGGCAGTTTGGACAGCAAGACTGGAAGTTCCTGGCCAGCCACTTTCCTGTGAGTGCAGCCCCCTTGAGGCCCCTCCCCCAGGGACAAAGGTTCAGGTTGACCAGACAGTGTGCCTGGGACAGACCTGCCAAGGAGAAGGAAAGGGAGTCCTTACCAAGCCCCACATTGGTCTAATAAAACACTTTTCCTAGGCCCTTTCTTCCCAAGCCAGAACTTGAGGCACAGTGCCTGAAGCTGGTGCACTCAGCAGCTTCCTGAAGCCCCATGCCTTGAAGCTCTGTGATATTTGCAGCGTGTGAATAGTGGCATATTTGCATTTCTTCCTGCATGTCAGGATTGAATTGTACTGTTTCTTGACAGATAAAACTGAGGGGAAATGATAGTGTCAGCAGGCTTCATGGGGAGGACCCCACAGAGCAGTGTTAGAGCCTCCTGGGGATGCAGGTCCCTCTCAGATTCCCCACCCCAGGACAGCTGTTGTCTTGTAGAGAGAGGAAGTGGCAGGAGCTGATGTCTCACTTACTTCCTGGGTCACTCAGGCAGCTCAGAGACCAGGTTCCTGACCCCTTCTGCTCCATCCCCGTCCCCCTTCCATGGGACCTGAAACCTTCAGTGAAGTAACACCCTTCCAAAAGCAAGCAAGGATCCCCAACATACCTGACAAGCTTTTTACAGGGGTTTAAAGTAAAAACAGGCAATTGCCATGTACCTCTCCACGCCCCAGCACGGACGGGTCTACATCTGTTTGTGGGAGCCTCTGAATAACATCTGCCTCCTACTAGACCCTAAGTCCCACAAGGTTGGGATAGCTCAGCTGCTGCCTGCTGCATCTCCCAATGGTAGCCCCTGCTTGGGTTAGGGTGGCATTAGGCATCTTTCCACGGGGAAACCATGCGTGTTTTTGCATGTTTGTCGTGTGTGATGGGAGCAGAGAACAAGACAGAACCCATGTGAAGTGTGCCTGGTCCCAGGAACTAAGGCCGCCACCCAGAGATCCCACAGATTCCTTTTCTCTCCCCAGAACCGCACTGACCAGCAGTGCCAGTACCGGTGGCTGAGGGTCTTGAATCCAGACCTCGTCAAGGGGCCATGGACCAAAGAAGAAGACCAAAAGGTAACTCCTGGGACATAGCTGCACACTCAGTGGGCCATTGCCCCACAGCGCATCAAGGGATCGTGAGGCTGCCCTGGGGGGCGGCAGGGGCACGTGTCAGCCTGCTGGCTGGTGAGTTGCACCTCGCAGGGCTGCATCACAGCCTTTGCAGAGTGAAGGTGCTAGGGTGGCCTGCCCTGCTGACTTCGCACGGGCCTTCCTCCAAGGTCATCGAGCTGGTCAAGAAGTACGGCACAAAGCATTGGACCCTTATTGCCAAGAACTTGAAGGGCCGGCTGGGGAAGCAGTGCCGTGAGCGCTGGCACAACCACCTGAACCCTGAGGTAAAGAAGTCTTGCTGGACTGAGGAGGAGGACCGCATCATCTGTGAGGCCCACAAGGTGCTGGGCAACCGCTGGGCTGAGATCGCCAAGATGCTGCCTGGGAGGTGAGCTGCCTCTTGGGGCTGGAGGCTGGAGTGGTTGGTGCTGTTCCCAGGGCATAAGGGCACCTGCTAGCTGTCGGGGGGATATTCTCTTGAGTCACTCAGATCTCTCTGGGGCTGTTCACTTTGCTGCACAGAAATGAATGAATCCTTTCGGATTCCTGCCTGGGGGTGCCAAGGCATCTCTGTAGGGACTTCTGAAGCAGGGCAGGAAGGGATAAGGGGCCTGTGGGCCTCCCGTTCAGTATGCAGATTTTCACTTGCTCTGTATTTCAGCTCCCTGCCTTATCCCTTGGTCTCTGCTGCAGCCAGGGTTTTTTGATCACTTTTTCTAGAGAATAAACTTCTGCTGCCTATGAAGTCAGGGCCAGGATCTGGGCGTCTGAACCATGCTCTGTTCTCTCCTGGCTGGGCCTGGTCCCTGCAAACCCTGGGGTTCTGTGGGCAGCATTGGGAAGACTGGGCCCCATTCCTGCGAGAATCTCCGGGTCAATTGCTGGTCTCCTGGAGTTGCTTATGGCTCCCTAAACTGCTATCCGTTTCCTGGAAGCTTATAAAAAAACCTATTTGTCTCCCCTATTCTTTTTGTCTTTGTGCCTTTCTCCTTCCCTTGCTTTATTTTTAATCCTCTTTATCGTGGCAGAGCGGTCCTGGAAGGGAGATGAGATAAAAAAAAATGCCAAGTGGTGCATTTCCCCTGAAGTCTGCAGTGCTCTTATTTTCAAAACTCGAACCTGAGCCTGTCATCCTTTGGGCACTTCTGACTGGTTGACTCTGGCCTCTGTCTTGGCATGGCCTGCTTGGCTCAGCTGATACCACCAGCCTCGGCTCCCTTGCTGGGCTTTGCCGCTCTGCTTGCTCCTCACTCAGTCCCTCAGGCAGACTGTGCTCTTTTCTGAGGATTCCCTGTGCTGTGCTGTTGCTCTCGAACACTCTGCTTGTGTCTCTTGTGTGGCCAGTGTGCTCCCTTCATGCTCACTGGGGCTTTTGCCTGTCCTTCCAGACTATGAATGGTCCCCAGCAACCTCCCTGTAAGTCCAGACCCTGCCCCTGCCTGGTTAGCTGCAGGTCAGCTTGTCCCGACAGCTTGCGGTGGGCATGACTGGAGATACAGACCCTCTTCTTAGGCTGGTGGATTAGTCAAGCTGTTACTCTCTGTTCACAGAGGGAAAAGTAAGTAGTCTGCTTGGAGTCCCAAAGACGGAGGTACCTGCTGTGTGTCCCACTTCTAAACTACCCTGATGCTGTGGCCTGCACAGCTGTCCTGCCGTGGGCTGCTTGGGCTTCCATAGCGCTCTGCCCCGCCTGTGCATATAGAGCACCACATGCTTCTGTGCACTGCATGTCTGGGCTACCATGCTATATATGTCATACACTGTACCTACTTGACTCTCCATCCTTTTGTACTACCGTGCCATCTGCTGCTCCCCTCCTGTGCTTCTCTGCATTTCTGTACCACTGTACTCGTGCTTTATATACATGTGTGTCTCTATATAGTCTTCAGCAAGTAATGGAATAGGGACTAGTCCTCTGATTGGCGGAGAAGCCTAGGCGCAGAGTGAGCAGTAGCCGCCCCTTCCTGTGTCATCTAGCCCTGCTCTCTGGGAGGTGAACAGGGCTTGCATTCTAGGCCAGTGAGCCTCAGGCTGGGGGTGAGAGGCCAGTGATGTGCTGTGGTTTTGACAGCTGCAGAGTGAGCAGGGAAGGGAGTGAGGTTCCAAAAACATTTCTGTCCTATGATTTCCCCATAAGGTGAATAAAACCTTGGCCTATTTCACCGAGGAGAGTTGAAATGCTCTATAAGCCTTAAGGGCCAGAAACGTGTGACTTGATCTTAGCGCTGAGACACCTGGGTGTTCATCAGGTTGAATCCTCATTTACAGAGTGGAAGCTCAACTCCAGGATGGTCATGTTATGCCTGGTGGCAACTGGTCCATGGAGTTGGGTTCAAAGGTTCCCTGTTGGCCCTTGCAGGACAGACAATGCTGTGAAGAATCACTGGAACTCCACCATCAAAAGGAAGGTGGACACCGGAGGCTTCCTGAGTGAGGCCAGAGACTGCAAGCCCCCTGTGTATGTGCTGCTGGAGCTTGAGGACAAGGACGGCTGTGCTAGTGCCCACCCCCGGGAAGGCCAGGTGAGGCGGCTGTCCAAGGTGCTGGGCCACTGATTGCACTTGGCTCCAGATCTCTTAGGATATTGCACTTGTATCTGACACTGTCTCGTGTAATACCTGTTCTTATCCACAGCTGTCACCTTATCCATAGCTGTTCACTAGTTCTGCCACAGGGTCTCCTTGTGGGCTGTGAGTCCCTCACTAGGACCTTTACTTGTCGCTCAACTTCTGTACATACCTGGCCCTTATCTGCTGCAGGTGAAGAATGACAGCAAGCTGACAAGTAAAATTGGAGATTAGGTTGAAAAGGTCCTATTCTCATCAACAGCTTTCTTCTACCTGTTGTTGCCCTTGCAGGCTTTTTATACTAAAAATGTATTTGCAGTTAAAAAAGACAGGTTTATCAACTATAACTCACACATGGTAAAATTCGTTGTTCAGTGTATATAGTTTGGAGCCATGACAAAAACTACTGTCATGTAACCACCATGGGCAGGATATATAGGACATTACTATCACCCCCAAATACCCTTGTGCCCTTCTCTGTCAGCCCATCTCCCTCCCTTAGTTCCTGGCACCTCATTTGTTTTCTGTCTTCATAATTTTATATGGTGTTCTTTAAAAAATCATGTAAATGAAATCTATGGTATTACTTCTGTAAAAATGAAACCAGTATGCAGATGTTAACATCTCCCACCCCCCATGCCAAAGCAACTTCTTGCTTGCAGCTCTAAGCTGCACCTCTAATGATTTATTCTTAAAAAATAAAGATTTGAAGCAAGCGTTTCGAGGTAAGAAGATTTGACAATACTGGTTATGTGGTAGGTGATACTTCTTTTCACTGGTTTCCAATCTTCTGTAATCATGAACTATTGAATAATTTTTAACTCTTCCCCTTCCCTTTTCTTACCAGCCAGATAAAACTTGTTCACTGCTCCAGTTCTATAATGCCTCACTGGAGCGTTACGTTATGTTTTTGCTTGAGAGAATATCTCTTGATCCCCTGGTAGGATGTACCTATGGGGTAGCAAATGGCAGTATGAAGTGAAAATTAAAATGACTTCTTCCAGTCTGGATCCCCAACACGTCTCCTAATCAGAGGAATTTACTTCTGATGCTTTCTAGTGTATAAAAGCGATATGATTTCAAAACCTTTTACTGCTGATTGTGAGAAAGCATACATTCCACCAAAAAACTATGGGCATCAGCAAACATGGAGAAGTTGCCTTTCAGGATAGGCAGAGTGGACCGTCCTTCCTTAGTCTCTGAAAATCCCGCTAGGCTGGAAGTCAGTTTGTTTACTAGACTTTAGTTGCCTGGCACTTTTCCTTAGAATCAGATTCAGGTTGTGCGTCTCAGCTGGGATGCCCGCAGACTGTCTCCTAACAAATACCAAATGGTGTGCCCTGTGTCCAACAGGCAAGTCTTGTGACTGACTGGCCCCCAGGGCTCCCTGCCATGAAGGAAGAGGAGAGCAGTGAGGAGGAGGCCACAGCAGCCACTGCTTCTAAGGAGCAGGAGCCTGTCCCTGCGGAGCTGGACAGGGTGCAAACACCAGAGCCCTTGGAGGACTTCCCCAAGCGTGAAGACCGGGAGGGCTCCTCGCCGGAAACCAGCCTGCCCTATAAGTGGGTGGTGGAGGCCGCAAACCTCCTCATCCCTGCTGTGGGGAACAGCCTTTCTGAAGCTCTGGACTTGATCGAGTCGGTAATGTTGACCGCAGCACTTTACAGTGGGCCCAAAGCACCGCTAGCAGGGAGTACCTATGTCATGGCTGAGCATCCCTCTGTTTGCTCTGTTGTCCTGCTGACATTTACCAAGCTGATGCTGAGTGCCTGGCCTAGAGCCAGGCAGGGCCCGGGGACAGACACCAAGATAGTTGCCATGTAGTCCCTGGCTCCAGGGTGCTCCAGACTCATGCTGACTGGTGCAGGGTTGGGTGGGAGGGCTCCCTAGAGGTGGTGCTGTACCAAGACCTCAAGGAGAGCAAGGGGAGGGTGTCAGGCTATAACAGCACAGGACAGCAGGATCTTTGATCACCACAGATGGCTCTCAGGGCCTGGGAAGTGCCTGCAGCTGAAGTGGTCAGCAGGTCTGATTACTCAGTGGAACAGCCCTCCAGGCCGCACTAGCTGTGGGTTATGCCCCTTGCAGGAGAGCTCCTTCGTGGGGGCTGCACTGCACCTCTTAGTGTCACATCTGCAGCTACATCAGTCAGGCCTGTGGTGAGGGGTGGCTTTCAGGAAGTGATGGGCAAGGGGCCTGCCATTCAGGAGGAGTGGAGATCACTGAGAGGCTTCCCTCCCCTTGCTAAAACGGCACTTTTATTGAATACTATGAAATACTAGGCTCTGACTTTACTGTACAGTACACACACTATGCTGTGAGTGGTGTCCTTTGTGTTTTGTAGGTGAGGTGGAGGCTCAGAGAGGTTAAGTAGTGTACCCAACGTCACACAGCCAAGTAAGCTTGGTGGCCTTGACCATTGTGCTGTGGTCTCACTGTCTTGTCCAGTGAGAAGTTGGATGGTACAGTCTCCAGGGCCCTCTGCCTCTGGGTCTCAACGCTGAAGGGATTGCAGAGTAGATTGAGAAGCAGATCTGTTGTGTTCAACAAGCTCTGATGCTGTGTGTTCCCTCAGGATCTGCTCTGTGCTCAACACTGTTGGCATTTCATCTCCCTTCATCCTCAGGCTGTTCTTTATCTTCTACTTGGTAGGCACAGAGAATAGGACAGGGGAGCTCACTTTTATCTGGCACCCACTGTATGCTGTGTCCAATGCTTCATTAATTCCATATCTAACATTTGAGTGCCTGCTGTGTGGCAGGCTCATTACTTGGTACTTAAAACATATGCTGTTAGTCCTGTTAGTTCCAGCGCTGTGAAGTGGGTGGTAGTTCATCACTAGTGAGGTTAGGAGACTCAGAGAGGTTAGGAGACTTGTCCAGCATCACACAGCTGGTGAGTGCTTATTTCAAGAATCAGGCCTTGTTGTCCAGCTCTAAGCTCAAGCTCTTTCCATGATGACCTTCAGTGGCTAATTGTGCAGTTAATTGCAATTGCAGAAATGCTATCTGTCTTTCCCTGCAGCACCTCTAGGCAGTCCTTTTTGGAGGTGCTTCTGGTCTAGTACATGCTCTCTGGGGCCATCTCAAGTTAGAGATTACTGCTGGGAGTGTGGGCCTGAAGTCAGTGCTACTGCCCAGGCTCCTGCCAATCCCAAGGAACAGAAATCACCATGAGGATCTGGGTCCACTCAGGGTCAAACCTCCAGGGACCAGAGTGGAAGCTTCTGTCTCCAGAAGCCCTTGGCTGGGCTATAATTTATTGGGCAGAGGTGGGAACACCTGGTTATGCTTCTCAGTGTTGGTTTTAGAAATTTAGTGACTTTGGCCTGATTGCACCTCTCTGGCCTGTGTTCCTCCATTATGAAAGGGGGAGAGTAATGCTTCCCTGGCAGGGTTGTTGTGGGATTGGAAGCAACTTAGCTGAGATGGTCAAAGAGGTACCCACAATTGACAGGCTAGTGGGGTGGTGCCTCCTCTCCAGGAGTGTGGCCAGCAAATCAAGACCCTTAAGCCTGGTCACACAGCCTTGGGCCTCAGGCCCACTTCTGGTAATCTATGTTAATAAAGATGTTATTTTTAATTTAAAAAAATTAGGGGAACAAACCTCAATGTCCAACAGAAAGGTGGGGATAGCTAAGTAACTGATATAATCACATGACGGAATATTTTGCAGTCATAAAAACTGTTAAAGAAGTTGAAAATTTTTTACCATAATAACTAGTATTTACTAATAGTAAACATTTAACTCATAGGTAATAGAATTAGGTACTATTATAAACTAAGTGGAAAAAGCAGGATGTAGAAATGATTTATACTCAGGTTAAAAACATGCAAAATTCTAGATAACAGACACATGTAAGTGGTAAAATGCTAAAGACATGCATGAGAATGGTAAACACTGAATTCAGGCAGTGGTCTATCTTCAGGGAGAGGATGTGAGCAGGAGGTGGAAAAGAGTGTCAGTGATGAGGTTTTATTTCTAGACTTATTGATGGGGATGTGATTCCTCTTTTTTCTATTTGTGCCTCTTGTATATGTGTTGCTTAGAACATTTTTTAAAATAACAGCAAGCAACCATATGCACAATATGACTTCAGTTATAGTTACCAATATAGATACACAGACATAGAAGGGTCTTCAAGGAAATGCAAGAAAATGTTAATGATGGTCATTCCTGGACTTTGGGATCACGCTTGGCAGTCGTGTATTTTCCTTTAATGAGTGAGTTTTTTTTGCATCAGTGGGTAGAAAAGCAGAGCCATTGCAGCTCTTCCTACACCCCCTCTGGGCAGGACCCTGATGCTTGGTGTGACCTGAGTAAATTTGACCTCCCCGAGGAGCCTTCCGCCGATGGCAGCTTTGGCAACAGCCCGGTGCCGCCTCAGCCACCCCAGCCACAGCAGCCTCCCCCGCACCGCCAGCTTGTCGCCCCGGTGCCCAGTGTGACCGAGTACCGCCTGGATGGCCACACCATTTCAGACCTGAGCCGGAGCAGCCGAGGCGAGCTGATCCCCATTTCCCCCAGCACTGAAGTGGGGGGCTTTGGCATCAGCACGCCACCCTCGGTGCTCAAGCGGCAGAAGAAGAGGCGTGTCGCCTTGTCCCCCGTCACAGAAAAGAATGCCAGCCTGTCCTTCCTGGACTCCTGCAACAGCCTCACCCCCAAGAGCACTCCCGTCAAGACCCTGCCCTTTTCTCCATCCCAGGTGTGTGGGCCTCACCCCGGGTGCTCACTGGGTTTGGTTTGTGGACTACCAGTGCCCAGTACTGGGGCCTGGTGCACAGGCATGTGCCACTCAGCTAGTGTTCGCTGAGCATCTGCTGTGTGTGAGGCTCTGTACTACGTGTTGGGGACAGGGGTGAGCAAAACTAGACCTGGTTCTGCTCTCACAAAGCTTACACTTTTGTAGGAATACCAGTTAATAAAAGGCAAATAGATATGAAATCTGGTATGAAGGAGAAGGCTCACAGATGATGACAATCTAGTCTGGGGAGGTTGTCATCCAGGAGGGCTTCTGTGAGGAGGAAGAATTGCTTGAGCTGGGGACAGTAGATTATAATCAGCAAAAAAGGGAAGGTACTGCATGGCCTGTTTGTTAAAAATAATCAATTCGTTGAGCATCTATTTCATGCCAGACTAACAGGCACTGGGGTGCAGAGGTGAAGATGATATCCCTGCCCTTGCCAAGGATGGCCATACTGGGGACAGCCTTATAACAGGGCTGACCAGGATGGAATTGGGAATGGCCATTACTAAGTTGTTGAGATCGTACTGTGTCCCAGGTCCTGCTTCCTGGGACTCTGTATATATATACATCCCACAGAGGGCTGAGGGAGGTGCCCTGTCTTTCTAGAGGTCGGGGATGTGCTCGGGCTGCTTCGAGATATCTGAGCTGGGTTTTGTTAGTCAGTGGGCTGGAGCAAAGGTGTGGAGATGGGGAGAACAGAGTGCAGGTGTGAGGTCCAGAGCTGGACCTGATGGGGGTGGGGAGTGGGGGCGGTGAGAGGACGGGTGGGGTAGGGTCCAGGAGGATGGACTGGTAGGTGGGTGAGAAGCTTGGAGTGTCTCTCGGTCCGGATGGGAGGCCCGGAGGTGGCACAGGTTCAGGCTGTCAACCCCAAAGCCCAGTGTAGGATCCTGAGCGAGTGAGGCCAGGTCTGCTCATTGGGAGACCAGTGGTGTTTTCTGAGAGGCCCTGTCTTAGTCCCCTAGGACTGCCATTACAAATACCAGAGACAGGGGTGGGGATTAACCCACAGAAACTGCCTCACAGGCCTGGAGGCTGAGATGAAGGTGTGGGCAGGGTCGGTTTCCTCTGAGGCCTCCCTCTGGCTTGTAGACGGCCGTCTCCCGTCTGTGTCTTCATGCAGTCTTCTCTCTGTGTCTGTCCTCATTTACACTGTGTGATCTTAGAGGGACAGCAGCTGTGTTGGTTTAGGGCCCACCGATATGATGTCATTTTGCCATAATCACCTCTTTAAAGGCCTTGTCTCCAAATAGTCACACTCTGAGGCCCTGTGGGTTAGGGTTTCAGTGTATGTATGTGGGGGAGTGGCACCAGTCAGCCCATAACGCCCCAGGTGAGCACTGCCTGCTAGAGAAGGTAGGCAGCAGAGCCCTGAGCTGCACTAACAAAGCCAGGTGATGGAGGGCATGCTTCAGGGCACTGGACTTCAGGGCTGCAGGTGGCCTGGAGCTACCAGGGCCACTGGGATGGGGCAGATGGTGCTGTAGACTGGCTCAGACCTGGATTTGAGTCCTGTCTCCAGTACTCAGCACAAGAATCTAACCCTAAGCCTCTAATCTCTAAATGGGGTCATAATAGTATGTAGGTTCTGCAAAATCTGAAAACCAGTCAATTCCTGGTGTAAAGTGCTGATCATCAGACTGAGAAGCTGCTCTTAAATGTCCCCATCACCAACCTTAATCCTCCTGTCTCCTAGCCCCAGGCCATTTAAGAGCTCCCCTTCCCAAGTGCTGCTCTCACTTTCTTCTGCCCTACCTGTGCTGTCTGCGTCTTGGCATGGGGCGGGAGACAGCCTTCCCCCAGCCTGGCAAGGCGAGGACTAGGGGGCATGACAAGCCAAGGGGTCTGCAGAGCCCGGCTGATCTGACCTGGTCTCTGTTCTCAGGTGTCTGACGGAGGGGGGCTGCTCCTAGGTCAGGATGGAACTTCTCTCACCACCCCTGGCTGTCACGTTCTGTTTCCTTTTTCTTCTGTGGCAGTTTCTGAACTTCTGGAACAAACAGGAGACACTGGAGCTGGAGAGCCCCTCGCTGACGTCTACCCCGGTGTGCAGCCAGAAGGTGGTGGTCACCACACCCCTGCACCGGGATAAGACACCCCTGCACCAGAAACATGCTGCGTGAGTGCTCTGCCAGCCCCCTGCTGGCACAGCGAGGCTAGCCTGGTGGGGCTGGCCCTGGGGGAGGGGGGCCCCCTTGGAAAAACACCTGGGACTCTTGTTTCTGGGAAGCCACCTCCATCATGTCACTACATCCTTCATTTTTGTCAGTATGGTCTGGTCCTTCACCTCTGTTCTTTTATCATTTTTGTTTTTTAGTTTGATGGGCTTCTAATCTCAGGAATGGAGAGAGTCCAAAATGCCACTTCAAACTTAAATCTCTCCAACTCTTAGGAGTTTCAAGTGCAAACGCACTGATCGAGGAGCCATGTGAGCAGGACAGTGGGTCCCTGCCTGGTTCTCCATCTCTGTGGAGCCTGGTGGGGAGGGAAGGCTGTGAGCCCTCAAAGCCCAGTGTCTTGCCCTCTGAAGCGTGTACAGGCTGCCTACCTGCATGCTTTTACAAAAGTGCCTTCCCATATTGTGCTTCCTTTTTTCGGCCAGACTGAATTTCAGGGAGGGAGATTTGCTTAACTGCGTCTGCTATTTGCATTTGCTGCAGGAGAAGCACTGCTCTTTGTTACTTCTCCAGTAAGGTACGTAACTGAGGGATCAGCTCAGCAATTAGAGCCCTCGTACTGATGCATAACTTCAGAGAAGACGGATGACTCCCGTGGTCAGAAATCGACAGCTGACCTAGAATTTAACATAAATACATGTCATGAGAAATGATTCTCCAGTCAAGCCAGCATCCTGAGCATTAAATCAAACCCTTCAGATATGCTGGAACCCAAAAGCATTGGTACTTCTTTTTTTTCCTTCTCAGCCAAGTTTATAATCTGCTGCTCCAGCTTCCCTGTTTTCTTTCACAAGAAGCAGCGTTTCCTGTGCTCTCGCTTGCTGTCCAGCTCCCCGCTGCCATGTTGTAGTCTGTTCCTTTTCTCTGAAGGTCATCCTTCAGAAGACCTGCAGTGTGGGTCTGCAGGTGATGAGTTATAGCTTTTTGTGTAGCTGAAAAAGTTGCGTTAAGTTTTGAAAAGGTAACTATCCTCAGTGTTTTTACTGAGGCTAGACCTCCAGGTTGACAGATTTTTTTCTTTCAGCCTTAAAGATGTTGCTCCCCATCATCTGGCTTGTACTGTTTTATCATTGGTTTTGAACAATTTGATTGTGATATGCCGTGATTGAATTTCTTTTGTTTCTTAGGTTGGTGTTCACTGAGCTTCTTGGATCTTTGAGTTTTTTATCAAATTTGGAAACATTTCAGCCACTCTATCTTTGAATATTTTTTTGGGGCCTCCTGCCTCCAGTGCTCTTGAGGGACTCCACAGTTGTACATTTGTTCAGCTACTTGGAGTTGTCCCACAGCTTACTGACATCATTTTATGTATATATATGTATGGTTTTTTTTTTGTTTCATTTTGCTACTTTCTACTGTAATGTCTTCAAGTGTACTAATGTTTTCCTCTGCCACATCTAATCTGTGGTCACGCCAGCTAGTGCATTTTTAATCTCAGGTATTATGGTCTCCCATTTCTACAAATTCAGCTGGATCTCTCTGAATGAATATTCAGTCCATCTCTACTTCACTTTTCAGCCACATGAAACAATAACTGTTTAGTGTCCTTGTCTGCTGATTTTATTTAGCCTGTGTATCAGTTCAAAGTCCATTTCAGCTGATGGGGGCTTTTGTTTGGTATCTTGCTGGGGTTATTTTATGCTGCTTTGTACATCAGATTGGGTGCCAGATGTGAATTCTCCGTTGTTGTGTGCTATATATTTTTGTACTCCTGTGAAGTTTTTTGAGCTTTGTTCTGGGATGCAGTTAAGCTGCTAGCAAACAGTTTGATCCTTTTGTATCTTTTAAGATATATCAGTGGGACCAGATCAGCAGTATATTCAGGACCCGCCTGAACCCAGTGTCCTGAGAATAAGGCTTCCCAGTCTGTCTGGTGGGAATGAGCACTCTCTCCAGCCCTATGTGTTGAGGACTGTTTGCTTCTGATCTTTTTGCGTGGTTCTTCCCTTGTCTCAGGCAACCTCCTCAGGTGTGTGTACGTTCTTAGTGTCCTGCTGAATACGTTTCAAGTCTGGGGTTCTCTGCTTTCTGGTGCTCTTGCCAACTCCAGCTGCCCTAGTCTCCCTGGCCACTCACTGCGGTCTCTGAGCCCAGGAGCCTGCCCCGCTTCAGCAGCTCTCCCCTCCCTGTGCTGTGCCCAGAGCAGGCGGCTCATCTCCTTGGCCTCCCACCCCTCAGGGGTCACTGCCCTTGTTGCCTGATGTCCAGTGTCTTGAAACCTGTAGTTTTTCCTGTGTTTTGTTGTTTTAGGCAGGATGTGATGAGTCTGGTCCCTTGTGTCCCATTTTGGCCAAAAGTGAGATCTGCTTTATTTTTAAATCCAGATTGTGGTAACAAAAGACTTTTTCAGTTTTCATTAAATAAAACCCAGTCGGTGTATAGGATTTCAGATAGTGATAGAAACTATGGGGGGAAATTACATGGGCCTGGGGAGCGCAGAGTAACGGTGAGGGGTTTTTAACTTAGTAGGACATCAGGGATGGCCTCTGGTCAGGGACAGCAAATTCTGATACCTATCCAGCCCTTATTCCTTTGTATAAACCCTTTTTTTCCCCTCCCTGGGTCCTTGTAGGGGTGTTTTTGGGTTCATTTGTTTCCTTGTGTGCTTTTCTTAGTTATTCCTGAAATTTGCCAGGCTACTGACTGGTGTGCTTATCTCTATTAACTTTTTCCCCCAAATTTTCATTTCAAACTCAAGACTTTGAGCTGAGAAAATGTGCTGTGTTTTTTTTAAAATTGTTTCTCTAGTATTTGTCCCTTTTACCTCCTCCTCAGGCTTCCCTTCCTACATAGTCTCCTCTGTATCTACATCTCTTCTCATGTTCATATTCTTGTTCACCTTAAGCCACTTCCAACTCTGCAAGGATGTCACGTGATTGTCTTCTGATTGACTAGCTGGGTTCTGCAGCTGCCCATGTACCAAGACCTCTAGCTTACGGATTTGTTGGTGTTCCCTTTTCAAGTGGGCCTCCCTCAGTTTTCTAACATCTGTATTCCCAGTTCTTGCTGACACCATGGATTAGAAAGGTTCTAGAGTTTTCTCATGTTGGCTGTAAAAGCTCCGTGTCCCATAGAGGTGTATGTCTGGTCCTGAGGCTCAATCATCTGAACTGAGAGATGCTTGCCCATGTTCTCTATGTGCAGAGTGGGGTCTGTGTGTGTCCATGTGGGAGATAGCAAGGGTTCGTGAAGGGATTGTGTGGATCCCTGTCTGATCTCTCAGTCCTGAAGGAGATGAAAAAAGGAAGGTTTACACTTGCCCTGGCTTTTCATCTCCCCATGGGAGGGCTGACAGGCTGAGGGAAGCGGCCAAGTCCAGGAGTTGACTCTGCACTGAGTCCTTGACCACCTGGGTGTTTCTCACGTCCTCTGACACAGTAAGGCTTCAGCAGTCAGCTGTGGCGGGGCACCTCTGGGTGACTGAGGTCACATGGGCCTGCTGCAAGGGGAGTCTGGTGCCCACTGTTAGATCCGACATCTGCCCATGGCCAGCTGGCTGGGTCCTGGCCCTGTATCTCTGGTCTTGGCTGCAAGGTGCTCCATCTGTCTCTCTTCCCAGAGGGTTTTTCCAGCACAGGCAGAAATGACCCACTGGTGGGGCCACATCTGATAGTAGCTTCCTAGTATTTCTGTTTGAGGACTAGACCTTCCCAAGTCTCTCTTTGCTATAGGTTCCCCTCCACACTTCTGTCCCCACTCTGGTCATTGGAGGAGACTTGGGAAGAGGATAAGCGAAACACATGCTCTGGTCTCCCCATCACTCACCTGATGTCAGCTGTGCCATTCTTTAAAAACGCTGCGACTGTGTGCTCTCCGGAGAGAGCTTAGGGGGGAGGGCCTTGGTCTTCCTGCAGTTCCGCTTTACTCCCCTCCCCCTCTCTCACTTGACCTGAAATGTGGCCTCCAACCCACTTTTTTTGTGAAAAGACCTAGCTATAGACTAATGACTGGGCAGCATTCTTAGCTTATACCCTCCTGGGACCAGGACCCTCTGACACTATTTCCTGCTCTTCCCTGTTTCTGAGGGTACCCTTCGTCTAAGCTGTTAAGACACCTGGGGGTTGAGGAGGTGGGTGGGTGGATGAGTGCCATGGGAAGAAACCTTGAACCAGGGTTTCCTCCCTGCTGCCAAGGCCAAAGGCCAGGTGGAAGGAAGGTGGGAGTCATGGATGGCCTGCAGCAGAGCAGCTGGTGTCTGTCCCCAACCCCATCACTAAGCCTCCTCCTCTGTCCCTGGCAGGTTTGTAACCCCAGATCAGAAGTACTCCATGGATAACACGCCCCACACGCCCACCCCATTCAAGAATGCCCTGGAGAAGTATGGACCACTAAAGCCCCTGGTATGTGGTGTGGCCAGCTGGATCTGTGCAGTGGGGTCTCACATCCAACCACTTATAGTGCACAGGGCCCTTGCGCTCTGAGACCTCACTGGATTCTCCCAACAGCCTTGAGAAGTTGCAGATATCCTAATTATATAAATGGGTAGACTGAGGCTGAGTTACTTTAATTCATCAGACTTTTCCTGAGCACCTGTACTGTACCAGGCAGGCACTGGCTGGTTGGTGCTGGACAGCTAGCAGGCATCCTGGTGAATTGCAGACTGGGCTGGCGGAAACTGATGTTAAACGTGAATGCGTGCTTTCAGCACATCTTACATACTGGGAAGAAAATGGGCAGGTGTTGGAATGGAGATGGATGGAGATGGACTCGCTTGGGTGCTGTGGCTAATTTGGTGAAAAGGCAACTTGCTCTTCAAACCAAAGCCTTTTGACTAACTGCTAGTTCTTTACAAAGCCGGGAAAGCCCCTCGATGGAGGGCTGGAGGTGGCCAGTGAAGAAGCACCTCAGCACCATGGGATTGCCCTTCCGTACTCTGGCTCCTGGTAACAAGCTGACACCTTGGGACAGGCAGGCATTTTGGAAACAAGTTGGAGGTGATGAAAGGCAGAGAAGCATCCAGCCTGTGTCTGCAGCATGTCCCCTCTCTACATGGAACCCCATGTGAAAGCCTCAGACAGTGGGGGCCTGGCGGGGTACTAGTCGGCACTGCCCCTCCATGTCCTGATGGGGCTTTGGTACCCAGGCAATGAAACACCAACGTGCTCTGTGCACTGGTCAGGGGGTGCACCTGATGCTGGCACCTGCAGTAAAGGGCATAGGGGCTTTTAGATGGACTTCTCAGGTTCTCTGTCCCCTGCACCTGGGTGGGTGGCTCTTGCCTTCCCGTCTCTGCCACCTGAGGCCCGGGAGGTCTCTTGGAGTCCCCAGAGAAATGCATCCAAGTATCTCCATTAGTGCAGGATCAAGGGGTGAGGAATGTGGGCTCTGAGCATGTCCAGGTTCTAATTCAACAGCTGTGTGGCCTTGCGCCAGGCTCCTGCTCTCTCCCAGCCACTATTACTACCCTGCAGAAGATGGCAGCTGTTCCACAGCTGTGTGAGGGGTTGCTGTGGTGGAGGCCTGGCCCATGGCAGCCCTCTGAGTTGAGGTCTGTCTGCTGTCCAAGGCAGGACACTTAATGTTTATAAATAATGCATGTGAGTCCAGTTCCCTGGCATGGGCCTCTGCTGCATTGTGCAGGACAGCCTCCGTGTGGCTGGGTGCAGAGCCTCACCTGGGCTGCCCTGCCCCTAGCCCCAGACCCCTCACCTGGAGGAGGACTTGAAGGAGGTGCTGCGCTCCGAGGCCGGCATCGAACTGCTCATCGAGGATGAAGGGAGGCCTGAGAAGCAGAAGAGGAAGGCTGGGGTAAGTGGCTAGCCGGGGCAGGAGAGCCCGTAGGGCGGCTTGGGCAGGGGACAGCGGGGCGATGGGGAGGGGAGGGGACAGCTGGTACAGCTGAGGCACTGGGGAGGGTGGAGCCGTGGCCCCTGGCTAGCTGCTCCCTGTGTGGTTATCCCTGGTGCTCGAGACCTTCCCCTCATCTCTTTGAACCAGTCCCTTAGTTATTTAACGTGTCTGGACTCTTCTGAAGTGGGTCTGGGCTGGGTGGGTAGACAGAGACCCAGATGGGGTCGCTCCCTCCTGGAGTTGAGTGGGCCGACTCAGACACTGGACAAACATCAGAAACTGCATACACACAGCACTAAGGGAGGAGGAAGGCACAGAGCCAATTCCCAGGGAAATCCTTCAGGCGTGGCCTGGTTTCTGAGCTTTGTGAGCCAGGGGGGGACAGTTACTTCAGGTGAGGTGGAGAGCTGGCAGGGGACACTGGTTATGGACACGGGTGGTGCTGAGGGCAGGGCAGGGGCTAGCCCAGAAGCCACACTTCTAGGTTGGCCTCTGTCCCACACTGTGTGTAGTTTCCCAGTAGCAGGCAGACTCTGGGTCCCCTCTGTCTTTGTGCCCTCCCCCTTTTTTTCCCAGATACTCTATTCTGGAAGAAGGTGAGAAGATGGAATGTGCCAGGGTGGTGGGCAAAGGTTACTGGGAGGAATTGGGGGGTGGGTAGTCAGCTGGGACGGATGCACCTGGCTGGGGCCTTGGGTGTTTGGGTGAAAAGGACTTGACCTAGGGCTCTCCCTGGCCTTCTCTGTCTTAGACAGCAGTTCTAAGCCATGGCAGCACCTATATGGGGCATGCTGCTGGGTCAAGGGGTGTTAGTCCAAGATCCCCTCCTTGACATTGGAGCTGACCCCTGACCTGCTTGTAGGAGGTGCAGGGGTGCGGCTGGATATTCCTATAGCAGGCCTGTGTCCATTGGGGTTTTATGTCTTATTTGTCTGCAGGTGGGTGTTGAGGTGTAACTTGGATGATACAGGAGGGTGTTTAGTATGGTACAAACTTGGCTGCGTGTGGCCTGTCGAGGGGGTGAGGCATGGGTTCCTGGGTGGAGGTTGGTGTTTGTGTTGTAGCATTTGCCAGGACAGTCTGATGGGGCCAAAGTGCCCTGGTTCTGTGAGCAGGTGGGTGGCTGGGGCAGGTATCCTCAAGGTGCTGATTGGGCACCAGGGGAAACCTCAAACCCCTGCCCTACCCTAAACGCCTCATCCTCCACATCTCCAGCTGCGGCGGAGCCCCATCAAGAAAGTTCGCAAATCCCTGGCGCTTGACATCGTGGACGAGGACATGAAGCTGATGATGTCCACGCTGCCCAAGGCTCTGTCCTTGGTAAGGGGCCTGAGGAGGCGAGCACTCTCTCAGCCACCGTCCCCAGGGACTGCAGGGGCTCTTCTACCCCAGGGAAGGGGAGTCTCCCTGGAGGCCTCTGCCTTGGACCCTTAAGCTGTGGAGAGGATCCTGGAGGTCAGCTGGTCTGGGGGTTCTTGGACTGAGTGTCTGGGTTCCCTGCTCAGCAGGAAGGGCCCTGATGGGGAGGTGGGGCAAGCACTCAGTCCTGCATCCATTGATGACAGCTTCGCTCAAGTCTTCCACAGGAGGGTTTTTGTTGGCAAGAGTTGCATTGCTAGAACACATTTGAAAACGTGGATCTGGGTCCCAGCATCTTCCCTTCTTGTGGGGATGACCCTGGAGGAAGGGTCCGTGTCATGTCTCAAGGCACAGCCAGGTGGTTGGGGCACATCAGCCCTGGGATGGGGTGCTGTCCAGTTCCCAAGGCTGACCTCCAGGAGGGGGCTGTTGGCCTGTGCAGAGCCTAAGCCCCCAGAAACCATGCCACACTTGATTCTCACAGCAGACAATGGTGTGGCTCCATCTTTCCCTGGCTTCCCAGGGGGAGACAGCAGGGAAGCATGTGGGGCGAGACAGGTTCCTTATCCAGGTCTTACAAGGAAGACTACTGTGCCCACAGTCTTTGCAAAGAAACCTCAGCCTGCCCTGGGGTCCCTTCAGGCTGGGCATCCAGTGCCCTCCAGCCAGACCTGCAAAAGGCTGCCTCGGGCATGTGAAATAATTACCAAAGAAAAGGCCTATGGCAAGTGGTTAAGATTAGGGTGTGGAGTGGGGTGGACCTTGGTTGAGTCCTGCCACCAGCATTTGCTCTCTGGGATCCCTAGGTTCCCAGAGCCTCAGGTTTTTGCCTGTGATAAGAGCAGAGTCCAGCAGACTGTCAAGAGGTGGTGGCCTGGAGGGTGTGGAGGCTGGGCCACATGGGGGCATTTTGTGCAGCACGTATACTGGTCTCATAGTGCTTCAGGTCAGAGGAACCAGCATTGTTGCCACCCACGAGGTGCCAGGCCCTGAAAAAGGCACTTTACAAATATGAACCCACCTGGAAGAGGAAACGGAGGCTTAGGACTGAATGCCCTACCCGAGAGATCTCCACAGCTGGGAGGTGGTGGTCCTGGGGTGGCTGTGTTCTTTTTCTTTCCACTAAGAGCTGGTGGCATATGAATGAGTTGCAGGTTTGATTTTTATTTCAGCCGACAAATGTCCCATCAGGCTCCTCCAGCCTCCTGCCAGGCATCAAAGAGGACAACAGCCTGCTCAATGAGGGCTTCCTGCAGGCCAAGCCCGAGAAGCCGGCAGGGGCCCAGAGGCCCCGGAACCACTTGCCAGCACCTGCCCCTGTGAGTGCTTGCTGGCCACAACTGTGGCATCATCCTTGGGGACTTGCTTTGCTGTCCTTCTCACCTCAGGGCCTTTGCACAGGCTATTCTGAATGCTCTTCTGTGGTTCTGTTTGCCTGATTAACTTGGACACCACTCTCAGGGAACTCTGTACCAGCAGCCTCCGCCTCCAAACCACTCTGGTGGGCTCACTTGTAATTAAGTCATTCTATTTTGCTGCTCAGCAAAAGTCTGTCTCTGACAGTAGGGGCTGCCCTGGTTGCTCATATGCCAGCATATGCATTATGAGTCCCTGGCTGCCCCTTCCCACCGGCCTGCATGGCTGTAGCATTTGCTCTCGTGGAAGCTGCTGCCATGTTGCCTGGTCCAGCCTCCTTGCTCTAGATCAGGGAGCTCAAGAGTGGTTGCCTCAGTGTCACCAGAAAGGTGGTGTGAGCATATGAAGATTTGTTGCTTCTAGAGGGAGGGAGGATCATAGACATGTCCCCAACTCCTCCACAGCCAGGCAGCATGCTTCCCCCACCTGGGTGCTAATTCTTTTGCCTGCTCCCAGATGACCAGTGCCTGGAAGACGGTGGCCTGTGGGGGAACCAGGGACCAGCTCTTCATGCAGGAGAAAGCCCGGCAGCTCCTGGGCCGCTCAAAGCCCAGCCACACATCCCGGACCCTCATCTTGTCCTGACTTGCTTGGCCTTCACGAGAGCCCATTCTCATGTTTACAGGGGGCTGGGGAGACCAAGGTGGGTGTGAATTTGAGAGCCACACTCCGATGACCACCTGCAGGGAGCCTTCTGCCACCAGCCCCTCCCCAGACTGCTCAGGTGAAGACAGAGCAGAGCCACCCACTGTCCTGTCTCGGTGTATGGCTGCAGACGGTTTCTGGTGCTAACAGAACAAAGTCCCACCCCTGGGCCTGCCCTGCCCCCTCCGGGTGCCATAGGAAGTCCCATTAGCTTCTCCCAAAGCCCTGGTCAGGCCTGGCCTCATCTCATACCCTGCTTAAGGCAGGGGGCATGGCCAGCGCGCTCCTTCCTTCCCTGAACCTGTTGGTAACATTTTTTTGAAAAAATAAAACTGCCTTTCTTGTGTCGCTGTAGACTCTACCTTTCTCCTGGGCCCTGCTTGTGGTTCACTGTGGTTTGCTGGTGACCCCAGGGCCCCAAGGAATATGGGGACCTGGGTCCTCAGAGTGCAGCCTTGTATGCATAGCCCAGGCCTAGGGCTCTAGCCCTCCTGACCCCAGGGGCCCAGTGTGCTGGGGGCAGCTCAGAGCTCAGGACTCCTGGCTGTTGGGAGGTGGGTGGGAGATGAATTGAGGCCTTGCCTACTCCTTGCCATGGGTCCTGTGATGAGCCCGGCCCTCAGGTCAGAGCAGGAGGCAGGATGCAGTGATGGGCAGCACTGTCTGGCCTCAGTGGCCCTAACTTCCCGAGGCCACAGAGTTGCAGCCTGGACTTTGGCCTGCCCTGGTCATGGCTCCATCGGCAGACGGTGGCACTTCCCTGGTCATTGGGGATTGATGGGCAGATGCCAGGTCTGAGAAGGTCTAGATGGGAAGTCGCGTTTCCAGCTGGAGTTTATGGGAGGGGCCCTGTGCCATTCCAGGGTCCGAGGGAGGTCACAGTTTACTGCAGGGGTAGCTCCCTGGGGCACGCTCACTGCTAGACTCCACTAGAGTGCCTCTGGTTCCTCAGGGACACCTGGGGGCAGGTCCTCTTACCTGCGGCCCCATCCTCTAGTAGGAGGACAGAGGACTCCAGGATTTAAACCTGTCTGACTCAGACACTCATCCCATGTGCAGGTTGTTTATGGGGTCCTGTCAGCATGGCAGAACGCTACCCAGGCCACCCCCATCGCTTCACAGCAGTTGTGCTTTGGTCCTGGCTGTATCCTAGTTCCTGCTTGAGGTCTGTGGTGCAGAGACTCTGGGGACAGGGTTCCCTCTTCCCACCCCAACTCCTGCAGCCCAGGTGGCCAAGCTGAATGCTCCAGCAGGTGCTGTGGCCCAGCTGAGTCTGCCTCATGCCTGTGCTTCTGCCAGGTTCCCACCCTGCACACCTCCCTCCCCCATACTCCTTCCCCTGGTCAAGGGCAGGACCCAGGCTGTTACTGCTGCCTGCTGGGCTGCCAGCATTGGTTAAACCACACAAAATTAGACAACATAGAAGTAGTAGAATTCAAAGTTTAATCTTTCCTCAGACGTAACCATTGTTTATGGTCTAATAAAGTACTTCTCAAATCACAGGTGCACATGAATTAGGGTGTTGTTAAAATGCCAATTGCAGGAGGTTGTCAGTTGACCTGAGGCACTGTTTCCTGGCAATGCTGAGTTGGGTGGGGACTGCACTTTCGAGTAGCAAGGATGTAACTGATGTATTCACCCACTTGGGGTAAAAATAAGATCCCATATTTTTTATTAATCAAATACAATGTTATTTGGCTGCTATTCATCAAATTCAGTTGATCAAAATCAATGAAGTAGGCTGTTCTTCGTGAGTGTTCACAGTATCTCCTAGAGCTCCACTAATCCCAGAGCTCAGTTGCAGCCCTGGCAGATTCAGGGCAGTGCCTCCCTGTGGTTTCCATGGTAATTGGCTGCTGCACATCCTCACCCCCACCCGGTATGTTTCACATTTTAGGCAGTGAAGGTCTGCAGGAGAAAATTAGGTCCAGCTACAGTTACACATGTGCTCCTCCCACTTGCATGTAGCTTCTCGAGAGCAAGGAAGATAACCTGTTGTGTTCACTGCTTTATCCCCACTGATGAGTGCCTGGCACGTAGTAGGTGCTCAAATATTTCTTGAATGAATAATGAAAAATGAGAGATCAACAACACTGGCCACTTCTGTGCGTTCATGAGCTAAGGATCTCCATGTTGGACTACTCAGGATGGAGTTGAGCCGAGACCAAGGGAAGACCTGACTTTCTGCTTGACCACAGGGTCTAACCGAAATGTGTCCAGGGTCTGAGAGCTGCACCTGCATCTTGACAGCCTGTCCCACTTCTGCGCCAGCTGCTCTGGGCACAGCCTCTTCAAGAGCCCAGAGGCCTCTTGCCTCATGCTTAACCCCTCCCAGATGTAGGCCTCCAAATCAGACCATGTCTGCCATCAAATTCCACCTGTCCTGGGTGCCCATGGCCTAACCTGATTCACAGTCTCTGTTCATGACTGATAACCTCAGAAACCTACATGCCAGACTCGGCTGTTTATGGTTGGTCTGTTTTAGTTGTAAAAATACAGAACAAAGATTACCATCTTAACCTTTTCTAGTGTACAGCTCAGTGGTGGTTACTATATTAACATTGCAATAGAGCTCTAAAACTTTCAGTTGGCAAAATTGAAGCTCTGTACCCATTAACAACTTGTCCTAGTCCCTGGAAACCATCAACCATCATTCTACTTTCTAAAGTTTGACCAACTACGTACCTTACATAAGTGGAATCATACAGTATTTGTCTTTCTGTGGCACCTTATCTGATGTGTTCAGGGCTTATCTCTGATGTATCACGTGTCAGAATTTTCCTTTTTAAGGCTGGCTGATATTCCATTGTATGTGTCACCATAATTTGCTTATCCAGTCATGTGTCAATAGACACTAGGTTCCTTCCACCTCTTGGCTATTGTGAATAATGCTGCTTGTGAGTAGGGGTATACAAATATCTTGAGATCCTGCTTTCAGTTTTTTTGGCTATATACCCAGCAGGGGGATTGATGAACCATATGGTAACCTTATTTTTAATTGTTTATATTCATTTCAATTAGGTTTTTGGTATTTTCAAGAAAAGCTGTGTGTGCAGGGCTAGTAAAGCCTTTGCAATGATGATTCAACTCTAGCCCCACCGGGTGGCCTTTGGTGTGTTTGCAGCAGCAGGTAAAGTGGGCCATAGAGGTTTCTGGAAGGTCTTGGAAGGTCCTGGAAGCATTTTTCTGAATTTCAGTCCCCTTCTTCAGCCTCCTCATCAAGCTGCTTGTCTGACCTCTGCTTGAACACATCCACTGATGGGGAGATGTGACTTATTCGGCAGCCAGCTCCATTTTTGGACCCAACTGTGAAGAAAATGATACTTTATTCAGAGAAAAAAATTCTCCCCTTTGTAGTATTAAAATAGGAGTGACTATCTCAGAAGCTTTGTGGGGTTCATGGGAAGCTTTGTAGGGAAATCAGGGTCCCAGGAGAGGTAATTGATAGGTCAGGATTAGTTTGAGAGTCTGACTGCCTGAAGTAGTCACTCTTAGCCAACCCCAGCATGAATCAATTCTGTGTTCGTTTCTAGAGATCACCCAAGGCTCTGACTGAGTAATGACAGTGATTTAACCTCCTCTGGGATTGGTTTAATGTTCCCACCTTCAGCCAGATGTGTTTAAAAGTAATTAAAGCTGAATTTTGTTATGAGTTGAGAAGCTAGCTTTTCACTGATGCAGAACAGCAGCCTCAGCTGGTCAGTATATTAATAGGGACTGACCTGTAGGCATGGAGGTTAAAGTACACATCAGATGGGACAGTCTGACAAGGAACAGGTGTAGAACCTGAGTCTCAAATGCCCTTCAAAAAAGCGTAGGTGAGGGGATGTCTTGTCTCCTCTCTGAGAAAGAGCCCCTGCACCCTGGCCAGAGAACAGCCTGGCCTGGCACCCAGTAGGTGCTCAGTCCATGTCTCTTCCTGCTGTGAAGTCATATGGTAGCAAAGCCCTGGGCAGCTAGACCCAGAATGGTGGGGAAGGTGTTAGCATTTTTTAGTGTTGATCTCTACGTTTATTCTCCTATGGTCACGGGACATTGTCTGTGTGGTTTCAAATCGTTGAAATTTGTTGAGACTCCCTTTATGGTTGAGCATATGATCAATTGTGTAACTGTTCCTCATGCGTCTGGGAAGACTGTAATGTGCAGGCATTGGGGGCATCATCCAGTTCTGTCCTATGCCCATCCTCTTGTCCAAATATCCAATCCCCTGGTTTTTGTCTGTGTCTTTTTATGGACCTAGATTAGCCAACCTCCAAAAGCCACAGTGTTCTTTCAAACCACTGAATGTTCCAGCATTATTGTGACAATAACTAGCTGATACACATGGTAGACTTGTGTTCACTAGAGAGTCCTGAGGAAAATGGACAGCAGACCTTGGGTTTAAACAAGGGTGGAGGAGGAATTTATAAGGCAGAGTTCCCAGACTTTGCTGCAAGTGAGTGGGTGAAGGAGTCTGGAATCTAGAGCCGTTGTGCTTATGCCTGTGTCTTGATTTTCCCCCAGGACAGCTGGCAAGCTTTCCATGGCTCTTTTGGCAGCCACGTAAAAAGCTCTGACTTTGGATCGGACCTGGGTGTGTTTCTCAGCTTGGCTGTTACTAGTTGTGTCTCTTTCCTGCTCTGTGCTGTGGATCCTCAACTATAAAATGGGGAGAAATCATTAACCTTTTAGAGTCGCTGAAGGAACTGGAGAACACTGGCACACACTTGGGGCTCAAAAAATAGGGGCTCTTATGATGTTATTACAAAATGCTTTCTCATTCGTATCTTGACACGAACCCCCACAAAGGGGAGGTTCGTGTCCCTGTTGCAGGGGATGCTCTGAGGGAGGGTTACTGGGGAGTGGTCACACTGGGACTTGAGCCCCGGGGTGACGCACAGGCTGACGCTTCAGTGCTCCCTGTTCCATGTCATGTCGGATTCATAGTTATCAGCTGGGGAAGCTGTGTGGTGCGGTAGAGAAAGCATAAGCATTTGGAATAGGTTAGATTCTTAGAGACTTTACATGGAGGTTCATTGTACATACTGGAAAGTGTACAAATTCCAAGTACACAGCTGGGTGAGTTTCCCACAGTGAGTACACTCATGTAACCAGTGTCCAGAATAAGAAATAGAACATGACCAGCGCTCTGGAAGCCCCCTCTCCACTCCACCCACGGCACCCTTACACCCTCCTGACTTCTAACATCATAGATTTGTGTTGCCTTTTTTTATATGTTGTGTAGACTTGACTTCATATTATATAAAACTTATGCCTTATCGTTAGCTTATTCTCATGACTGTGTAGGACTCCTTTGCAAAGCTTTTGCACAATTTATCCCTTCTCCTGAAGGACATGTGGAGCATTTTCAGATGGGCTGTTACACATAGCGCTGTTATGAACAGCTTGTCCTCATCTTTTGGTGACCTCATGTGCATATTTCTGGTTTATGCATATTGTTGGGGTGGGGTTCAGTTTCATTAGGCCACATACAACTTACTGGCTTTGTAAACTAAGACAAGTGATTCAGCTTCTCGCTTTTCATATTTCTATATTGGAAATAAAAATACTTGCCCCTCAGTCTCGTGGCCAGGACTTAATAATATCTACAAAGCACCTGGCCAGATGGAGCTCCCCTTTCTTTCCTCCTTCCTCTGCCATGCCAGAGCCCCCTCTGCCCGGCATATGGGTTTCCTGCCAGGCTCCTCCTTTGCAGGAATCCTCAGCATGAACTTGGTAACTTGCCTGCTGTCCAGGGCTGGCAGGACTGCCTTTCCTCAGGCTATTTGCTGGCTTTCCTTTGTGATTCAGTCACTGGCACCCAGTCTGGTACCAGCTTGCTGTGGCCACTGTCACTCCCGTCAAGTCCCTCGAGGAGTGTGGCTTGCAGCAGATGCTCTCCAGAGACAAGCCCAGTAGAGGCAAGGAATGAGGACTAAGGCGGAGAGGGAGCAGCTGGCTGAGATCCAGCTCAGGAATTTAGAGCAGACATTCCTCTCTTGGCTGGTTTGCCCCTAGGTCTCCAGGAAGGTTTTTCTTAAGTTGGCAAACTGATCCACCAGCCAGATCTAGCCTGTCACCAGGTTCCGTAAATAGTTTTACTGGAACCTGTGTTCATTTGCCCACATATTGTCTGTGGCTGCTTTCATGCTACCAAGACAGCTGAATAGTTGCATGAGAGACCATAAAGCTTACAAAGCCCAAGATATTTACTCTCTGGCCCTTTGAAGACAAATTTTGCTGGTCTCTGAGTTAAACAATATGTCATGACCTTTGCATATGAGTACTGAAAGAGCTTTTCCAGTCTGGTTTATGGCAGCATACTATTTTGTTGTCTGACAGCACCAAAATTCATGTAATCAAACCCTTCTAAAGGCCATTTAGTTTCTGACCCTTTCCTGCTAGCAAGGACGCTAGAGTGAATAACCTTGTACTTAATTCATTTTTCACATGTGTAAGCATTTACAGGAGGAATTTCTAGAAGTGGAATCACTATTGAAGCATAACGTTTTTTATAGCTCATCAGTATTTATAGCTATTTTCAAGTAGCCCTCCATGGCACTTTATGAACTTACATCTCATCAATGTTATGAAAGTGTCTGTTTTGCTCCACCTTTGCCGGTAGAACATTGTTAAGCCGTTGGGTCTTGACTAATCTGCTAGGTGAAAAAAAAAAGGTACTCCAGGATAGTTTAGTTTGCACACCCTTTATTCTGGTGAATTGCCTCTCCTTTCCTGTTTTTAAGAGGCGAGGTCTTTCTGTTGCTGGCAATTTACTCTCCTGGTCTGAGGAGTGGCCAGGGGTGGGGCATGATGCTCTCTCTCTGACTCTCTTGTGTCGCTTTCACAAACAAGTTATTGGGAAACAGAAGTCTTAAGGACAAACATGGGGTGGCAAATAGTGCCATCGACATTCCAGACCTCGGGGCTGGGGAGCCAGGATGACGCTGCAGAGGTGCTTCTGTTCTGCCCTGAGCTTGGAAGGCTGACTGTCCCAGGGCTCGAGCTGTCCACCGCACCTCTGTTGGCACAGGCAGCTTCGTGCTCCTCCAGCTTTTTGATGGGGACCACGAGGTGGGTGTTGTATTTGCAGCTGGCTATCGGTTTGGCTCTCTTGGGGTTCTTTCTCTTGCACAATGCCAGGTGGTACTGAAATCTGCTGAGTGGGATTCGGTGGTGAGGGTTGTAAGGGCAAATTTTTAAGGCTTCTGGCTCCATGCGAAATTGTTCTTCAAGGAGAGTAGTTCGCTGCCCAGAGTCAAAAGGAAAAGCCCTTTGGTAAGGAGGATGGAGCTGGCCTCAGCCCAGCGTTGACCCTCAGAACTGTGTAGGCAAAGGTCTTAACAGCCCGCATTCCATGTGCCGTGAGACCACGAGTGGAGGGTTGGGAGAAGGACAAGGGGCTGTCAGGAGCAGCTGCTCAGGTCACAGAGCTAACAAATGGCACATGAGACAGAACTATGTAAGATGGACACTGGAGCCAAAAAACCACGGTAGCCCCACAGGAAGGTGCAGAAGGTATGTGCCAGCCCCCCTTGACTCTGAGAGGTGTGTGATGTGAGGGGCAGTCATGGGGTGTCCCAATGGGCAGCAAGTCATCAACAGAAGGCTACTTGCTGTCCACTGCTTTCAGGGGCTGGATGCCTTTGGGGAAAGCTGCCTTAAAGAATTGGCCCTGGCCTGTCTTTCAACTCATATGCTTAATATAATTCTTGATGTATTTGGGTTTAAATCTACCATCTTATTTCGTGCTTCCTGAACTATTCTTTGGTTTATCTTTTCTCCTTTCTTCCCTCATTTTAAATAGAGAGTTTAAAGAAAAATCTTTCCATTTCCCCCACTACTTTGGAAGTTACCTGTTCTCTAATCCTAATTGTTTGGTGGTTACTGTGCAAATGAAAACATTATAGATAACTTTCATTCAAGGTTTGAAGTTAATAAAAGTATCACCCTCTTCCTGGATATCACATGGCTTTTTCTTCGTTCACTCCCTTCCTGACTTCTTACATTGTTGTTCCTTGTGTTTTAAAACTTATTTTTAAAAACATCAGCCTTGCCATCGCCATTGTACATTATCAGTTTGTTGCTCGGATCCTTGTGCCGTTGCCTCTCTGCCTCCTGGACCTCAGACCTACCACGGGGGCCCACTTTGTTTCTGGGAGAAGGTCACCTTTTAGAATTTCTTCTTGCCAAACTCGGATGGTTTCGTTTGTCTGACAATATCTCTACATCGCCCTCATTCTTGACAGATATTTTTTGCTCAGTGTAGTCGTGTTGTTTTCTTCACACTGAAGCAGAGTCCAGTTTCGTCCAGCTTCCACTCCGGGGTTGAGAATTCAGAATCCTACTGTTGCCTAACTTCATTTGCTAGTAAGGTATTTCTTGTCATGTGCCTGTTTTTAAGGAATTTGTCTTTATCTTTGGTTTTTCTGTACGTTTACTATGACACTGACCTGTGGGTTTCTTTTTGTTTATCTGTTCTTTTTGCTTATTTGTTAGAACTCTGGACTCAGGATTAGTGTCTTTTCATTAGTTTTGGAAAGTGTTCAGCCATTTGTCTCTTCAAAGATTATTTCTACCCTATTCTGTCACTTCCACCAAAATGCTAAATGTCACTTCCACTGACATTTCATTGTCCCAAGTGAGTCCATGGCCACACCAGCTTCAAGCATCAAGGAGGTATAGTCCTATCAGGTGCTCAGAGATCAGAAAATTTGTCAGGAGTCTTAAGTGGCCTTCTTGACACCAATATTTGTTTTCTTTTTCTGTACACACCCCCTGCTCTTCAAGAAAGAAAACCCAAAACCCCAGTGTAGAGTGCAGGGGTAAGCAGCTTGGTCAGAGCTCACTGGGGGCTTCTTTAGGCTGGTGGAAATTCCAGGGCCTCAAACCAAGCTGTCCACGAAGGATGAGAGTCCCGCGGAGTCGGGCTCAGTGTATCCGCAGCCCCAGCCCACCCCAGGGATATCTCCTGGTGCTGCTGAGAAGGTGTCCTTGGTAGATTGTAACTTCCTTTCATCTGTGGCTCAGCACGCCCATTCCTCCAAGCTGCGACCCAGGACTGAAGGAACTATGACGACCCTGGCCTCCTGGGCGTTGACAGGTGGCTGGGCCTCTGCTCTTACAGCCCCCCAAAGCTCAATGATGCCGACAACGCTCTTAAAATTCCCAGGCTCACAGCCTTTTCACACTCATGACCAGGGTGGCCCAGGCCTGGATAATTTAGGCAGTTGTATGTCTCCGAATGGAGATGATAATGAAGGGACTTCGTCTGCCACTGAGATCCACATAATAAGGAGCAGGACGTTTGCTGCTGCAGGTTTCTCTGTGGCCAAGCAGCCATTAGTGCAGGAGGCCCTGGTGAGCGCATTATGTAGAGGGAAGGCAGGCTTGTTAATGCTTCTAACTGGGCATCCTGAATGGCCCTCAAACCTGCAGGCTTCCCCGGGATCTGCTCCAAGCCTGGGCCCTGACAGCCCACTCACCATAGCAACACAAGGGCAGCGAAGGGGGCAGGTGCACGTGTCCAGGTGGCACTTCTGCCTGCCTACGTGCACATGACCAATAACACACAAGAGGCCAGTTCCACTTTCCACTCATGCCCCTCCACACTGAGCAGCTTGAGAGATGCTGCCAACAGGTGGTAATGCAGATGTGGAGAGGAGAAGGGCACAGAGTGTGCAGAAACTATGTTTACTGAAAAGGAAAAATCGTGTGTCCTGGCCAGCCAAGTCAGCAATGATCAGTATGGGGTGGGATGGGGCCGTTGGGAGATCGAAGTCAGTGTGAGTTTGAATCCTTCAAGTGTGGAGAGACTTCTGACATGAAGGCCAGCTTCTCTCCCAGGGCTGGCGGCCCATGCAGAGTATCCCCGGGTGATGGCCCTATTCCGCCAGATGTAGGAGCTCCCCACCAACCAAGGGATTTGCACGGGTAGGGTTCTTACACCGAGCTGAGCTGACTGGGCTGCTTACACCCTCTTGCAGTTACTGTGAACTCTGCACCTTCTGCTTCAGGAACATCCTCTGGGATGGAAGGCTATCCCAAACACCCCAAACTCATGCTGCATGGACATGGCACTGGGGTGGGGGTGTCCACTCCATTTCTGGCTCCTTGTATCTCCTCGCATGTCCAGGAGACAGGTGTGGACAGTCTAGGGAGCTCTTCTGAGCACTGGAGCCCTGGCCCAGAGCTTCCCCATACTGCCCTCCAATCCTTGTTCAGAGCAACCCTGGTCTCCACCCACTTGGGCTCCTGCTAGCCCCTTTGGTCCGAGGACCTTATTTTGAAGACTCAGTGTCGTATTATGTAATGCTTCTCAAAAAGGCTCTTGAGTCACCTGGGATCTTGTTACGATGCTAGATGAGGTGAAATTTTGGTTATCTGTGTCAGGTTTATATGTCACCACTGTGTTAGATTTGTAAAATGAATCAGAATGTCTTCTATCTGTTTTCTGGATGGCTTAAATAGCCTAGAAACATTCTCTGAAAATATGAAAGAACTTTACTACCAAAGTCTCTCTGACTGATACTATTTTGGGAAATATTTCTGTCAGTTTTCAAATCAGTTTCCACGTATACTACTTCTTTGGGCAATTCCCATTTTTCTAGAAAAGCATGCTGTTGTGTACTGAATTGTGTCCCCCTACCCCAGTTCATAAAATGGAGCCCTCACCCCTATATCCATTTGGAGATTGGGCCTTTATGGAAGTAAGGAAGGTTAAGTGAGGTCATGAGGGTGGGGCCCTCATCCAGTAGAACTGGTGACCTTATAAAAAGAGACAGCGGAGATGGATCTCCTCAGAGGAGCACAGAGAAAAGGTCATAGGCCAGAAGGCAGCTGTCTGAAAGCCAAGAATAGAGGTCCCACCAGAAACCAATGCTGCCAACACCTTGATGTTGGACTTCTAGCCTGTAGAATTGTGAGAAAGCAAACTTCCGTGTTTAAGGCCCTAGTCTGTGGTGTTTTGTTATGGCACCTGGAGCAGACTGATACATACGCATTCTCCGTCGAACACTCCAAATTAACTAGCAAGCCATAGGTATTTCATATACTCTTGTAATTTGAAAGCTCTTCTCTGCATCTTTGGCTAAATTTCCTTTACTTTTCTAATTAAGCAAAAAATTCTTTCTCTCACTTCCTACCTGCTCCCTTTGTCAGGTTTTTACAAGTATACTTATCTTACAGTTATTTACAAGTAGCTGAGTTCTAGATTTATCAGTTCTACTGATTTTTATGTTTTCTATTTTATTAAGTTCTCCCTTTACTTTTAATTCTCTCCCCAGATTTAATTGTTGCTTATTTTCTAGCTTCTTCAGTTGTATGTTTCATTTACTTTCAGTCTTCCTTGTTTAATACCAAAAACATTAAGAGCTATAGGGAGTCTTTGGTTACATCCCATGAGTTTGTTCTGAATAGCCTGGAATTGAAGTTTTGTTTCCTTCTTTGACTTGAGTTATTTAGGAATAAATTTCCAAGTGATGTAACTTTTTTGTCTATCCTTTTGCTTTTAATTTCTGTTTTTATTGGCTTGTGGCCAGGTAATGAGGCCTGGAAGATGATTGCTCATTAGTACCACTGAGGTTTTCTTTGTAGCCTAGAATGTCATCAGTTTCAGTCATTTTCTTACAGATGTTTGAATTAAATATCCTTTATGTTTGTATTTATTAGATGAAGCTTATTTTTCCAAGCTGACATTCTTGGGAACACGTTCCTACACATCACCTAGGGAGCCAGTATCCCACTCCTGGGGAATCACGTGCCCTTCAGTATAGACCTAAGAAGTCCTAAGGTGAACCACCCATGTGCCTTTACTTAGCTCAGGGTTTTCTGAGTGTACCTTTTCTCCTTAGCACTTTGAAGACTCCTCCTTGAGCAGCTAGTTTTCCATGGAACTTATTTCAGAAAATTCTGCTGTAAGCTTTTCTCTTATTTCTTGGGGACAGCTAAGGGTCATAATGCTGATTCCTCAGGTATGACCCCTCTTTTTGGACCTTGGGGCCCATCCATGAGTCCTGAGGTGCTTCTCTGCTCATTTTCCTGGAAGGAGTGGCTGCAGTGGAGAATGTCTGTGTGGTCTCTGAAGGATGCTGAGCCAGTCTCAGTTCAGATATTGGTGTGGTTTTGCTTTGTCATCATGGAGGCCTCATTGTCTGAGGGACCCAAATGAAGGCTGGAGTTACATGGCAGTGACCTCACTGCTGTGCTCAGGGTTCTCT